GTTTGTATGTAATGTATGAATATAATATACAAGTTTCACTTTTTAAATGGAATTACTGAAATAAATCTACTTTTTCATGATATTCTAATTTTATGACCAGCACCTGTACATGCTTCAATCAAAAAGGAGCTGCCACAAGAAAATCCGGTTTATTTACCTCCCCTGATCAAGAAACTTAGAGAGTGTTGGCGAGATCTTCGATGTCGCAACACCGCATTAAAGCAGAGGACGTTAAAGCAGTCATGAAAGAAGAGAGGGCACTTTGTGGGCCATCTTGGACAGGAACGGGGACAATCACTCACCGGTTCTCTTTCTTCTGGCAAATGCACTCGCCAATTATCTCCTTGATTTCAGGATCCATGACCTTGTTGAAGCTGGCTGGCTTCACTCCCTGAGGAAAGTGGGGTATAAACAAAACATTGTGAAAACATAATGAAAGGATGCAGTTTGTATGAAAAATCCAAAATAAAGGGCATAAAAAATGTTTGCAGGTTAGTTTCTCTGTTATCCCCCCCCACCCCTTTTTTAAATATTCGCACATCCTGTTGACTGAGTGAGATCATAACAAATTCCAAACAAAATAAGACACACACAGAAAGTTGTTTTAAGTAAAAAAGGAATGCATCTGATTAAATCCAGTCACCTAAATAAAACAAGCTGCATCACCTTCTGTTTGGAAGCGCAGTAATTTTTTAGTGCGGCTGCTGTTAGCATTTCTAGTAGAAAATCTAATTTGTGTCACCCACTGTTTTTTCTTTTCAGACAATCAAGGCATATGTGAACATCCTTTAGATTACCTTTCCTCTGAGTGATGTGGCTGAATGCCATTTTCATTTAGGAAGCGCAAAGCAAAATGATATTGTATTTGCTTTCGACTAATCTCCTATTAATACCCTGCAGTGGTATGTGGGATATTGATATCCAGAGAGAGCTATCATGCTTCTCAACCATGACAACCGGAGCTGAGAGCCTCTCTGCATTAAAAGCACACAAAATACTCATCTTTTAGCTTTCAAATCTGTAAAATCCCAAGAGGAGGTGGGGGGGGGGATCAATACCATTCAATCAAACTAGAACATCTATCAGGACTGCAGATACCCTCTAATCAGAAAACTGTTTGTTTGTTTCAAGGAGATGCTGAACATCAAGTGAAACATTTTTCTATAAAAAACTGAGATTTATCTGCCCTCAGCAGCTTCCTGTGGGGCTCATTAAAGACTTCATCAAGATGTTGAAGATTGAGGATCAACCTGCTTAAAAACAAATCTGATCTTGTAAGCTGAAAACCTCTCTGAACTGACTACTCTGCCAAATTAGCTAAATAATTAAAACCTGCCAAAACCCTGTGAGGGTCTGGGATTATTTCAGCAATAAATAGCTGATTCTTCATGAAGTTTAACTACAAAATACATGAATCTAACAGGATTTCTGAAAAGTGGAGCAGTAGAACTAAAGCTTTTTTTGTTGAATGTTTTGTTAATCCATTTTAAAAAGATATTATACAAAGAGAAGTTTTAATCTGTATAGACTGAGTAAAGCAGACAGGATGCTTTTCTGATTACAGACACATTTATCATCTGAAAAGTCTTATATAGAGTACTAGAAACTGCTAACAATTACTGCTGGTCTTTTGGTCTGGTAGATTAAATCATGATTTATTCTTTAGCCAAGCCAGAAGCTAAAATATAATCTAATTTTCCTTGCCTTTTTTTTAAACATTTCACTTGCTACAGGCAAGAAGACCGACTCTTATTATCTTGGCAATATTTTAAAATGTAATATTTTACTTTACAGTGGAGGAAAACCCAGAAAGTCACTTCCAGATTACTATGTTCATAAAAGGCAATGGAACTTATTGTACAAAGCCCAATCAAAATGCTAAACCAAATTAATCATTATCACAACCCCGCATCAAGTCTCCACAGGAAACAAACACACATGGACATCTCCTAAGAATAATTACTTAGTGAGCCACCGCCTTAGAAATGAATGTAAATTCAGTAACAGCTTGACTCACACTTGTAACTTTGCGGTAAATCTGAGCAGCATTTTGACACTCGGAGTAGGGGTACTCTGAGGTGGCCATCTCTAGCATACACATGCCGAAGGCGTAGACGTCCACAGCCTCGTCGTAGTGCTCCTCGTACATCTCTGGAGCCATAAACTCTGGAGTACCTACAGGTGGAGAGAGGGGGGCTCATATCCTGTCTGAACCATCAAATCACAGACTTTACATTCAACTCTCATACCTATGACGCTCTTTGCAAAGGAAGCTGCCTTAAGTGTTGCCAGTCCCAAATCCCCTATCTTGACTGACCCTGTGGGTCCAGTTATGAAGATGTTGTCACACTTCAGGTCTCTATGGATGATGGGAGGCGTCCTGGTGTGAAGAAAGTGAAGGCCCTTCAGGATCTGTCTGCACCAACTTCTCAGCACCTTGGGCTTCATTACCTTTAAACGCTTCAGATATCTGAGGGAGATTCAAGGCAAATTTGGGTTGATCACAGTGAAAAAGACAAAATAAAAATTAACAGGTCACATTTTATCTACAAGCTCTTGAATACTTACGTTTTTAGTGTTCCTGATGTCATGAGCTCTGTTACCAAAACAATGCATTTCTTTCCCTTTAGAGGACACTCCCAGAAGTCGTAAAAGCGAACAATGTTGGGATGCTGAAGACCTTTTAACATCTCTGCCTCCTCTTTAAAGCGCTGGCGTTCAACTTTGGACAGCTTACGGTCCTGGAAAATATGACAATAAAAATAATCAAAACTGAAATATAAATGTACTAAAAGAAGTTGGTTTGCACAAAGCATATGTCCTGTACATTTTCATGTATTTTATGTAATTAGACCTAGAATTTATTGTCTCTAAAAACACATTGTGGACACAGACAGGACAGTGATGAACCACAGCCCCTCCAGGATAAACAAACCTAGACACTACCACGGTCACACCCAACACGCTGCAGCTTTATGATTCTGTCATTGATCTATTTGACTTTTTCTCCTCAATCTCTTTCACGTGCGCTCACTCTCTAACCAGCCAGCTTTCGCTCCGTGTCTTCCCTTCCCCCCTCGATTGCAACCCATCCTTTTCTCTACACCCCTCACATCAAACACTCCCTTCTTCATCACCAAACGTTCCCCACACACACGCTTCTGCTCAATGCCATCCCTCCTGCAGTTCTCAGACTGATACCACTCTGTTAGCACCTTACAGCCAAGCACAGACTTATCTGTGTTTGCTTAAAAGCAAATTAACACACAAAGGACTCAGCAGTGAGGAAGATTTCCACCACAAAGGCACACAGGCAGGTGACACTGTCATCAGAATACAATAAAACCCAGCAGGATCTATTTAATTATTCAACCAGAGTCCTTCTCAGATAAAACAAAATGAATACAATCAGCCTGGATAACCTAAATGAACAATAAAGATGTGCTGTGATATAACTGTTTGGACAATAGGAGTGATATGGTGATAAAGCATGGTGTGTGTGTGTGTGTGTATGTGTGTGTGTGTGTGTGTGTGTGTGTGTGTGTGTGTGTGTGTGTGTGTGTGTGTGTGTGTGTGTGTNGAGATGAGGGTTATTTAAAGCTGCAGAATTCCTGAGAGATGAGAGGAGAGATATGAGGCAAAAAAAAAATCTTCTAAGGGAACAAATAGTGTTTTGTCTTGAAGGATGTGAGAGCTGCAGTTCCTGTTTAAAAATACTTCAAACTGCCTTTTTTAAAATATATATATTTTCTGCTTTTCCCCCTTTAAGACGTGTGTCACAGGTAAACCTCTGACCATCTGATGCTCCTGTGCAAGAGAAGAGCGCCCGGGGATAACCCGGCCCTCCCCTGCTCAGCTCGCTTGGGCAGAAAGAGTTCTCTGCAGAACTGAATTATTCATGGGACTTCAGAGGAGTGCAGTGAAAATCCCCACCCCCCTCACACTTGCACACAAATGCTGATAGGCCACATTCTCACACACACACACACACACACACACACACACACACACACACACACACACA